AAAAAAGAAAGCTGGACAAAGACTAAGGATATTAGAAGAATTATTGATGCCTTTGAGCTGTGGTGCTGGAGAAGAGTCTTGAACATACCATGGACCATCAAGACAAATAAGTCTGTCTTGGAGTGAATGAAACCAAGTTTCTCCTAGAAGGTTAGGATTTGAAGCTTTGTCTCACATACTTTGGGCACGTGGCCCGGACGGGCCAGTCCTTGGAGAAGGACATCATGTTTGGAAGGGTGGAGCAATGGTGCAGGAGAGAAAGATCCCAGATGAGATGGATTGATACAGTAAATGGAGCAAATGGGACAAATGGGGCAGGTGTGTCGGAGCCAGTGAGACCGGATCAGAATAGGGCAGGCTTCAGAGCTGTTGTACATAGGGTCGCTAAGAGTCACAGGCGACTTGGTGGCACTTAACACGATGACATTTGAGTGATATGAAAGTAAAGTAGGCAGCATGAAGATACTCTGAGGCGGGACTATCAAAAAATCACAAGTCCAAAAGGAAATGGCAGAGAAATACAAAATTCTAGGGAAGGAAATATTTAAAGTGAAATTAGAAAGATTATGGAGAGTCAGATAAAGGATTGTAAAAAGGTGTTGCAGACTTATAGAATAGTAAGTATGTAGGCAGGTAAACACTTAAGTAGGACAGGATCTAGAAAAGCTAGGTAGTCTGACACACCTTGCTACAGAGTGAGTGGAAATACATTCAAATCCAAATCATCCAGTAAGGTTTGCCTCAAAGCAGTTATAGGCCAGCTTGTCTTTTAAACATCTGGCAGGAACAGCCAAACCTTTAACTGTGGCCAGCACAAATGCAAGAAGTCTCAGATCACACCTTGCCACCATTAGTCCACAGCAATGCCACAGTCTTTCCACGACCAGGGTCTCGCTCTCACTAGGGTCTTGCCACCCCAAGCCTTGCCTGTCTCAAGTTTTGCTCATCTCAAGTTTTGCTGCTAAGTGTGGAAAGCACTCTTTCACTTCTGCTAGCCCCACAGCTATTGGTGATTTGCTAGACCATGTGTCTGCAGTTAAGGTAGCAGGAGGCCAGAGGTGGCTAACTAATGGCTAAAAAAAAAGCCAAACTTAACACTAACATCACAAAGACCTACTTAAATTGCGGTTCTGAAGAGTACTGAATATCCCATGGGCTATGAAAACAACAACAGATAGGTCCTAGAAAGTGTGTGGCCAGAGTGCTCCTTTGAGGCAAGGATGATGAAGCTTCATCTTTCATACTTCAAACATGTTCTTTGAAGAACAACATCATGCTTAGAAAGAAAAATGGTAAGAGAATGAAAAGAAAGACCCTTAAGAGGCAATGACACTGACTGCTAATGGAGTGGCAGTTCTTTCAAACCAGTCAGCCATGCTGAAGAGAAAGACGGAATAGTGCTATTCTGTCCTTTAGGGTGTTACTATGCCAGATTCAACTTAATAATAGCAGTGGGTTTAGTGTTTGGGGCACACATTTTATTTCATTATTTGTTCTCCTCCTAGTCAGGCATGCTTTATGTTATACACACCTCACTCTCAGCTTGAGTTCTCTGACAGCGATACTGAGCAATTAGTCTGTCGGCCTGTGCAAGAGCAAGAGCTTTTGCTTCCAAGAGATCCTGGAGCCTGCTTTCTTTGGACTGTAAGAAAACGAACCACTAATCATCAGAATCATTTGCAGAAAAGCATTCGTTAAAATTTGTTTGTTATACAAAATTAGTTAGTACTCACAGCTAAAGTGGATAATTTCATCTCATACACATCCATTATGTCAGATATTCTCACATCATTAATCTGATCCTTTACCTAGTATTTAAATATAATAGAATTCAAGTCAGAAAATTTCAACACTCACAAAATAACAAAATAAATGTCTACCATGAAACTAGCGAATAAGAAAGTAAAAACACAACCCACAAAAATACAAGTCCCAAAAACAAAACTTTATCTACTACTTTGGACATGTTGTAAGGAGGGACCGGTCCTTGGAGAGGGACATCATGCTGGGTAGAGTGGAAGGACAGCGCAGGAGGGGAAGGCCAGCGCAGGAGGGGAAGGCCCTCTATGAGGTGGATTGATTCAGTGACTGGGGTAATCGGGATGGGTGTGTCAGAGGCAGTGCAATTGGCACAGGATAGAGCAGAGTTTAGGGCTGTTGTACACAAGGTCGCTATGAGTCACAAGTGACTCGACAGCACATAACAACAACAATATATCTTACCAGGTGGGCTGCAAGCAGTTCACTAACCTGCATAGTGCAGAACAACAGAATAACATCAACATTAAAGCCTAGTATGTTTGTAGGAATTTAAAAAGAAAACAAATTTCTCAAACTGTGAGATATGTGGGCATCTAGGACAAGAATGGAAGATGTGTCAGTTTCCTTTCTACTTTTTCCGAACATTAGTTTTATATTCTAAAATAAGCCTTAAAAATATTAAGCTTTTAATTATAGAGTTTTCCATTTAAAGTTGTTCAAATAAATATAAGAACTAGAGACGTCACTTAGCCGGTAGGTACCAGCATAGCCCTATTTACTAAGTGTCATTTTATCACTCACCACCACTCCAGATTGAAGTTTCTCTATTAATTCCTCAATGTTCAAAGCAGGAAGATTATCTTTTAAAAGTGGAGGGGTTAAACTCTTCACTGATGTTGGGAAACCGTGATTTACTGATTGCAAAGAAATCCTTCTGGGCATATGTTCTGCTTCTTGTTGTCTATAGGCATTGTTTGCTGCTATGCTTTCTCCAAGTCTGAATAGTAGAATCAAAAAGAAAAAAGAAATAATCAGATAAAATAAAGCAAAAGAAAATATTCAAATATTTTTTTGAAAGAACATTCTCAGTGACCATGATGAACGCAGGTTCCAGAGAGTATCTTAATTTGCAGGAAGATTCTTGTACTTTTTCCTACCTACAGTCATTTTTAGTAATTTTTTCTCTGGCTTGGATGCACTGGCAACCAGCAGTGTAAACGAATTCTAAATATTATTGAGCATACTGACTGCTCCCTTTCCCATTATTCTACATTTCACAATCATGGTAACACCGAAGTCAAATCTACTTCAATCATCTTAAAGACAGGTGTTTTGAGTGAGACTTTGCCTTCCTCTGTAGCTCCACGTCATACTCGCTGTCCTGTACGTGACAAAAACCTAAAAAGAAAATGCAGGGATACCAGGGGTCTCGCTATGCAGACTCCTGGACTCCCAGAAAGGCCTACAGATTGTGGGCTGTCCCATCATTCAGTAGAGCTGCAGGATCAGAATGCTAGATTTCCAAGGGATAGCAGTCATTTCACAGGGTCCCTCAGATCTATTATTTGTGTGTATGGGGCCCTGACCACCAACTACTCATATGCAAATTCAAGCTGAAGCTGAGGAAAATTAACCAAATCCAAGGCAACCAAAATATGACTTTGAGTCTATCCCACCTGAATTTCAGAGCCATCTCAGGAACAGGTTTGAGGCTTTGAACACTAATAAGCGAAGGCCAGATGAGTTGTGAGAGGATATCAAGGGTTGTTCTTATCCCAAAGAAAGGAGACCCAACAGAATGTGGAAACTACAGAACAATCTCACTGATTTCACATGCAAGCAAGATTTCACTGAAAATTATCCAAAAACGACTGGAGAGAACTACCAGAAGTCCAGGCTGGGTTTAGAAGGGGTCGTGGTACTAGAGATATTGTAGCTGATGTTAGATGGATCTTGGCTGAAAGCAGGGAATACCAGAGGAATGTCTGTGTTTCATTGACTATGCAAAGGCATTTGACTGTGTGGATCATAACAAACTGTGGCTGACTCTGAGAAGAATGGGAATTCCAGAACACTTGATCGTTCTAATGTGAAACCTATACTTGGACCAGGAGGCAGTCGTCAGAACAGAGCAAGGGAACACTGCATGGTTCAAAATTGGGAAGGGCGTACGTCAGGGATGCATCCTATCTCCATACCTTTTCAACCTATATGCAGAAGAGATTATCCAGGAGGCTGGGCTCTATGAGGAGAAATGTGGGGTCATGATTGGTGGACGATTTATCAACAACCTGCGTTATGCGGATGACATAACCCTGCTTGCTGAAACTGAAGAGGACCTGAAGCGCCTGCTGCAGAGTGTCAAGGACTGCAGCCTCCACTATGGATTGAGGTTCAATGTCAAGAAGACAAAGATTCTCACCACTGGACCAATTGGCAGCATCAGGATGGATGGTGAAGAGATTAAGATTGTACACAGCTTTAGTCTGCTTGGCTCCACAGTCAACACTCTTGGCACCAGCAGCCAGGAAATTAAAAGGAGCATTGCCATGGGAAAGTCTGCTGTTAGGGACCTCCCCAAAGTACTGAAGAGCAATGGTGTCTCTCTGGAGACTAAGGTGCGTCTGATACAGGCTATGGTCTTTGCAATCACTTGTTATGCATCAGAGAGTTGGACAATGACCAAGGAGGATAGAATGAGAATTGATGCCTTTGAGCTGTGGTGCTGGAGAAGAGTACTGAGAATACCATGGACTGCTAGGAAAACAAACAGATTTGTCCTGGAAAGGGTTAAACTGGGTGGCTCCTTGGAGGCAAGGATTCTGAGGCTCCGTCTAACATACTTTGGACATGTGAGGAGAGACCGGTCCTTGGAGAGGGGCATCATGCTTGGGAGGGTGGAGGGACGGCGCAGGAGAGGAAGGCCCTCTACAAGGTGGATTGATTCGGTGACTAGGATAATTGGAATGGGAGTGTCAGAGACAGTGTGAATGGCACAGGACAGAGCGGAGTTTAGGGCTGTTGTACATAGGGTTGCTATGAGTCGCAAGGGACTCGACGTCACATAACAACAACAACAACAACATGGGTCCCTGGGACCAGAAGGCACTGGGTGGATGGTCCTTCATTGGAAGAACAACGCTGAACGTGTTGGGATAGGTATTATCTTCTGACTGCAAATCCTGATCCAATTAACTCTGTATGGGATCTGAAATGGTATAAGCCCATGTGCCCACTCAAAGAGCACAAATCATAGTACAGAGCTCAGCATAGAGATAAGCAAATTGTGTGATAAAGGAGAAGCAGCAGTACCATGGAACTGTCTCCAAAATGATTTCAATAGCCTGTGAGAATTTTAGTTAAAGTTTCACACTGTGTTCCTTTTCACATAAATGACAAGGCCTTTGGAACCTAACCAAATAGCAGGTGAGAAGTAGCTGTACAAAGTTACTATGTACAACAGCTCCGAATCCTGCCCAGTCCTGAGCCAGTCTCACTAATTCCAACACACCAACCCCCATTGCCCCAGTCACTGTATTAATTCATCTAATCTGGGGTCTTCCTCTCCGGCACTGTCCCTCCACCTTCCCAAGTATGATGTGCTTCTCCTAGGACCAGTCTGTCCTGGCCATGGTGCTCAAAGTATATTAGATGGAGCTTCAAAAATCCTAGCCTCCAAGGAAAGACTTGGTTTCACCCTCTCAAAAACAGTCAGATTTCTTTTCTTGGAAGTACATGATATGTTCAAGACTCTTCTCCAGCTCCACATTATGACGACATCAATTCTTCTGTCATCCTTAGTCATTGTCCAGTTTTCTGACGAATAGCAGGTAGTTGAGAAGATCATGGCCTGGATCAGACACACCTTAGTCGCTAGACTGACATCATTGCTTTCCAGTACTCTGGAGAGGTCCATTACAGCAGATTTTCCCAAGGCTTTTTTTTTTTTTTTTTAAATGACCTGACTGCTGATGTTGAGTGTTGATTGTGGAGCTGAGCAAGCTGTAAACTATTAACCACTTCAATCTCTTCTCCATCTATCATGTGCTGCCAATTGGCCTAATGATGAGAATCTTTGTTTTCTTGATGTTAAGCTTGTCGATATAGAAGACTACAGTCCTTGACCTTCTGCAGGAAGCTCTTCAGGTCTTCCTCAGTTTCAGTAAGCAAGGTTGTGTTATCATAATGTAATGTAGATTATCGATGAGTCTACCTCCAATACTGATGCCACATTCCCCTCATAAAGCCCTGCTTCCCGAAAAATCGGGGTTGCATATAAATTGCAAATATATGAAGACAGGATGCATCCCTGACACACTCGTTTCCTGATTTTTGAACCATGCAGTCTTTCTCTGCTTTGTTCCAAGGACCTTCCTCATCCAACTACAGATTTTGTACAAAAACAATCAAGTGTTCTGGAGTTCCTATTTTCTTCAAGGTTAACCACAATTTATTGTGTTCCACACAGTCAAATGCCTTTACATAGTCAATAAAACATAGAAAGACATTCCTCTGGCACTCTCTGCTTTCTGCAAAGATCCATCTGACATTGACAATAATGTCTTTAGTGCCACAGCCTCTTCTTAACCCAGCTTGTATTTCTGGTATTTCTCTGTCAATGTACTGTTAGTAATTTCTGGATGATCTTCAGCAGGATTTTGCTAGTGTATGATATTAGTACTCTGTCGGGTCACCTTTTTTTGGAATGGGAACAAATAATGGATCTCCTCCAGTCAGTTGGCCAAGTAGTTGTGCTCCTGATATCTTGGCACAACTTGGTAAACACATCCAGGGCAGCATGTGCATGTTGAAATATGTCAATTGGTTGGTATTCCATCAATTCCTAGGGTTTTATTTTTTGCCAAGTTCTGCAGAGCAGCCTGAACTTCCTCCTTTATCACTATTGCCTGTTGATCTTATGTTGTTTCTTGAAATTCTTCTGTGTCAGCCAATTCTTTTTGGTACAATGACTTTGTATACTCCTCCCATCTTCTTTCAATGCTTCCTGAATCATTCAATAATCTATCTGCCCATAGCTTCCTTAAGCATTGTATCTCACAGCTTGAATTTGCTCTTCAGTTTCTTCAGTTTGAGAAATGTGGAGCGAGTTCAGCTTTTTTTGATTTTTGGACTCGAGCTCCTTGCACATTTCATTTTAACATTTTTGCCTTGTCTTCCCAAACTGCCTTTTGAAATCAGTTATTCAGCTACTTAACTTCTTGAGTTTTTCCCTTTTCTTTGGCTTCTTGGTGCTCTAGTGCAATATTCAAAGTCTCTTCTGACATCCATGTTGGTCTTCTTCCTTCTTTGTAAATGACTTTTTTGCATTCTTCATGAATGATATTCTTGATATCTTAACACAGCTCATCTGGTCTTCATTCTTTAGTGTTCAAGGCCTAAAACCTTTTCCTGAGCTGGATTTTAAATTCAGGGGGATATATTTTTATTCCTGTGGATATGATTTAACCTTCTTTAGCTTATATTTGCACTTGTATATGGTTAGTTGATGGTCTATTCCACAATCAGCACCTGGCCTAGTTTTCATTGCTGATTTCTCCAACAATTCCTTCCACAGAGGTAATGGATCTGATTCCCGTGCATCCCATCAGGTGAAATCCATGTGTTTAGCTTGTGCTTATGTTTCTTATTTGCAAGGAATAAATCATTAATCAGCATGTATCAGATGCAAAGCGAGCAAGCCACTAAAACATGGAGCAGCTTCAATGCTTCTATAGCAAAGCACCTCTATATTGTAACATAAAGGGAAGCTCTGATAATCTATTTTCTTATTAACTATTATAAAAATATATGAATGGCACCTAGGTTTTCCATAGTTCTTTAATTCTAAATATATGACCAGCTATATTAATTATTCTGAAAATCTGGTTTTCTAGATAAGTTTATAGCATATTATAGGGGGCTAGTAACCTTTTTCTTAATGATCATATAATAAGTGTTTTAGGCCTGAGGGCCCATTTAGTCCCTGATGAAACTCATTAACTCAGCTGTTGCAGCATGAAAACAGCAATATAAAAACAGATACATGTAGCTTTGTGCCAATAAAACTTTACCTATAAAAACAAGTTATATTACCTACTGGCTATGTTGTTGTGACAAGATGTTGAGTCAGAATCAACTCAATTGACCCTCCAGAAAGTTTTCAGAGACTATAGTAAATAAAAGTGATGATTACTTTTCATATAAATAATTGTGAAGAAACTCTTTCTATCAGAAGAGAAAGTAAAATGATAGGATGTAAGCATCCAGAAGCTACTTCAACAAAAAGAGGTAGTAAGAGATTGAGAGGAAAAGTGCCCTGTTAATACAGAGAAGTACCTGGATCCAGCCCATGGATGAGAATATGCTTGAAGTTTTCAGTTATAGGAGTTCAAAATCTGTCTTCCCTCTTCCTTTTAATTATCATTTAAAAGATTACTATTAAGAGTGAAATGCTCAATTTATCTATAACCTACCTACACTGAGGTTTGCTAAAGAAGAGATCATTTCAACTCACACTAAAGCAGGGAAATCTGGGAGTGGTGCAGCTTCCAATAATAATCCCAGTCCAATCTGTACTTGTTCTCTGTTATCTGAAGTTAAAGCAAAAGCCAAAGGAGTAATCACACGTGAATCCTAAACAAATCAGAAACAGAAAATAAGAAGTAAGTTAGTTTGCAAAAGAAAAAGAATAAACAATGTCAGGAATTTATGAGGAGCGTGAGTAAGCAGAGCTAATTACAAAATATTATAGGCGGTTCGAATCCACCAGATGCTCTGCCGAGGAAGGAGGGACAATCTCCTCTTGTACCAGTCAGATCTGATTTGACGGTACACTCACACAAAAATAAAACAAAAATTAAAAAAAATATTATAGGCAAACTCTAATGTGTTTTTTTCTGATAACGATTGTACGATTACTCTTTACCTTGCTATGACTATGTGAATTGTTTTACAATCAAAGTGAATACTAGCTTAAAAAAACTGTGGCAAAAATTTTTATCTTTCACAATGTTTCTTTGAAAATCATATCTTAAATATTATGATGAATATAAAATCTCAACCATAACAACACTTTTAACCCTCATGTAGAAGAGACATTTTAAAATGGCTTATGTATTTCGAAATTGAGTAAGGTCATAAAATAAAGGTAAAATTAGCTCAAGCTAGAATACGTAATTTTACTAAAAGTTTAAGTCTTTCATGTCAGTAAATATTTTACATTAGTACTGTAAATCCTAAATTATCTATTATGAAAAAAAATCTAAGAACTGACATAAAATCCCTTTAATACAAATGTTAAAAGTACACAGTAACAAGTTATTAGCAGAGGGAAGACAAAAATACAAGCATTGTGAAATTATCAGCATTTTTAAATATTAAGTGCCATGTAACTATTCTAGTATAATTCAACTCTACAGAACATGCTACGTTCAGGCATTTATTTTCATAACCTCTGACTTCCCTTCAAATTCCTTCAAGGAGTAGAATTATTATTCCACTTTGCCACATGGAACAGTAGCTCAGGGAGGTGAAATAACTTATTCTTGGATGCACTGGCTAAAAAATGGTAGAAGTCAACATCCGAACCCATTATGTTCACAGAACTTACAAGCACATTTAAAGTTTTACTTTTGGCTTCTGCCACGACTATATATACGCACAACAGCCATTTCTGTAAGTTTACAATATTAATAAATTATTTAGACATACTAGTTAAACATCTTTTATAAACCAGGTACTGTGAATAATATGAAGAATTTCAAGGCAGATAAAGTAGTTCTTAATGAACTACCAGAGAGCCTGGGGCCCGGGTAGTATGGTACACTCCATGATGGGTCCAAGACCAACACATATCTGTCTGAGGGAGTTAAGATGGAGACGTCTAAGGTAGATCTTCTCCTAGAAAGATTTATAACCCTGGAAATCAGATGGAGAGAGAGGTGCTGAAATTGACTTGATGATAATGAATCTAGGCTTTGTAGAGCTACCATTGTCACTGTCAACCAAAAGAACTGACACAGCCACTGCAGCAATGAGCTCAAGGATGTCAGAAATTGTGAGAATGGCACAGGATAGGAGAGGGTTCAGAATGGTTGTAGGGTCGCTATGGGTCATACTCAACTCCACGGCACCTAATTCCATGGCATCAAACACAGTCCGATCTTTCTTTCTTGGAGCTTTTTATTCTCTTATAATTCTGATAAGACAAAAAAAAACCTCCTCCAAAATCAACCCCAAAATACATATATCCTCTAAAACTGCCAGCAGAAACAAGTGAAGAACCTCGCAATCATGACACAAGGAATAGTAAGATTGAGGATGCATATTATGAACCCTTGAATCAAGATCACTTATGTTCAGTTTCTGTCAAATTACACAAAACGACAATACAATAAGAAAACTGTAAGTACTTAAGACATTCAACAACAAGTTTTCTTTTGATAGTCAATTCTAAGAAAAAATATCGTTAACATCATGTCAGAAAAATATACATTAGTAAGTCTTAAGTATGAATGTTAATGTTTAGAATTTAAACTCACCTGAAGGATTTTGTAGAAGCTAACCTCCATACCAGGAACCAGCTGTTTAAGTTTGTTCATCAAATCAAGAGTTTTCAAAATTACATCAGCAGCAAGTTTGCTTTAAAAGTAAGTTATAGGGAAAAAAATTGTTTTTAAAAGTTTTACTTAAATTAGGTAACTCAAAAGTTGTCTAAAAGCTTATTTCATCCCAGCTAATTTTACAGATAAATTGCAATGCTTCTGAGAGCTGGATAATGAATCAGGATGACAGACAAATAAGTGATGCCTTTGACCTGCAGTGTTGGAGAAGAACACTGAACATCCCATGGACTGCCAAAAGAACTAACAAGTATGTCTTGAATAAAGTGCAGCCAAAGTGGTCTTTGGAGGCAAAGATGATAAAGCTTTGCTTCACATACTTTGTTCATGTTGCAAAGAGAAGCTACTCTTTGCAGAGGAACAGCATGCTTGGAAAGGCAGGAGATCGGTAAAAGAGAAGACAGCCTCAACCAGATGACTGCCACAATGGACTCTAGTGTGTTAGGAAGTTTGCAGATGGCACAGGATAAGACAAAGTTCAGAGATGTTGTACTTGACTTAATAATGAGAATATACCTAATAATAATAATTTTACAGAAAGGAGCTCTGGTCGCTTGGTGATAAGGAGTTGTGCTGCTAACCCAAAGGTATGTGGTTTGAATCCACATACCTAGCTGCTCTGCAAGAGAAAGATGGACAATTTCCTGTGCAATACACTGACTCTGAAAACTCACTTACGGGTCAGCTAAGAATTAGTTCTGACTTGGCAGTACATAACAACAACTACAGAAATAAAATGAGTGATTCTTACTTGACTTTGAACCTCAAGAAGGGAAAATACACGTTATAAAATAAAAATATTATAGAGATCAACATCCTTATAACCCATACCCAAACATGGCATATTAGCATTAATAACCCAAGTTTAGACAATGTTCATTATTCTACTTTCAAATATTAACATCTTTCAACTTTTGCTTCAAAATTAGCAGTACTGTCAGTAGTATGACCTACTTCTCAGCTATGTCACTGGAATATCAACACGAGAGGGCAATCTTATATGCACTGCGTGAATTATACTAGGCTGTTCTAAATTTTGTAGCTTAAAAGGAATCTAAGAAAATAAAAAATCATCTGCTCTTGAACAATCATAGATAATTATAACATTCATGGAACTATGAACAAATCATAGTGTCTGGCATTTAGAATCCTCCAAGACAGAATAAGTGAATTTAATTTATGAGGGAGTAATGGCGTACATAAAACAATATTCTCATTACTGTCAGTGAAAAATCCACCTTTAATTACTAAGAAGACCCATCTCTGTTAATAGGAAGCTGTCAGCAGTAAATTATTTCTTGTAGTAAAAGTACTCATTTTTTTCTTCACTTAAACATGCAAAATAAATACAAATTTAAAGAAGTTGTTGTAAAAAATGTTCTGAAATTCTTAAAACAATTACCATTAATAAAAACAAAATAAACTTAAATAAAAAATGCTGCATGATGAATGTTTTTCTTCAAAAGCATATAATCTATAAATTTAATAAAAATACCTTCATCACAAAAATACTTGCCAATTCTCTGCAATACTTTAAGCTACTATAATATAACCAACATGATTTTCAAAAAATTATAAAAATCACTGCCATAAAACTGTAACTTTTAATTTTAGTAACTTTGCCCTTATTATTTTGCCAATGAGGCTTCCATATACTTACCACAATTCAGAATCTGCTACCTTTGTTCCAAACCCCAGGTCAATCTTGCCATATGTAAACTGTTGTTCTATCAGGGTGGTACATTTAATAGTCGTCAGGATTTTTGCAACATGCATTTTGAGAGTATCATCTCCACAGAGAGGTTGATTTTGTTAAGGGAAACAGAAAAACATCTCAAAGTAACTTCTTGTTGTGTGCTGTGAAGTCGCTTGTGACTCATAGCAACCCAATGTACAACAGCCCTAAACTCTGCTCTGTCCTGTGCCAATCACACTCTCTGACACCCCCATTCCAATTACCCCAGTTACTGAATCAATTCACCTCATAGAGGGCTTTCCCTTCTTGCACTGTCCCTCCCCACTCCCAAGTATGATGTCCCTCTCCCAGGACCAGTCCCTCCTTACAACATGACCAAAGTATGTTAGACAGAGCCCCAGAATCCTTGCCTCCAAGGAGTCATCCAGTTTAATCCTCTCCAGGATGAATCTGTTTGTTATATTTGTATAATATAAACACTTTAAAGTATTTGGAGTTCTGGTAAGGTGAAAACTAAGGTGAAAGTACTGAAATACTAGCCAGAAGGTTGGCAGTTCAAGTCTACCACAGAGCTACTTCAGGAGAAAGTCCTTGTGATCCACTGCCAAACAAGTCTTGAAAACATAAACAGCAATAATTGTACTCTGATACTCAGGGCTGCCATGAAGCAGAAGCAATCTGGCTAATCAACAAACTGGTTAGCTTATTTACGAAGATTTCATACAAAGCATTCCATTGCAATTCCATGTATTTAGTGTTATATTAGTTCCATGACAGATAAGAATCTAACATTCAAGAAATTCAAGAGGCTCAAAAAGATACAGATAAGACTAGTACCGAATGTTTGCCTCAAAGAGAAAAACAGAAAAAAATATTTGTCTTTTCTGCTGTCCATAGTCACTATTCATCGCAGGCAACTCAACAGCACATGACAACAACAACATGCTATATTGATTGTATTTTTATTTAAGACTCTTGTCTACAGTCAACAAGACCTCAGGGAGGGCCTTTGTATTTAAAAGTTGGTTGTTATATTTTGGAGGAACATTCTAAGTGGTATCAATTCTATCAATATGCTGTATTGCTGTGATGCTGAACCTTGTGCTATTGGGGTGTCAAAGGTCTTAACGGTTGCCCATGGTAGACAAGTGTTTGGTGGAGCTCCCAGTTTAAGACAGGTTTGGAAGTAGGAGTCCCATCCATTTCCTAAACAACATGTCTCTGGAAAGTCTCTGAACTTTGATAAATGACAATAGTTATTGAAAGACTTCAGGACTTCTGTTCATAGAGTCGTGCTCAACTCGATGACAATCAACAACAACAGCTGGATGTTAATTTTTTGTTTGCAACAATCACAATAGTTCAAATTCTTAATACAGACACACACACACAACCCCCCTAGTTCAAGCTGATTAGATTATATGGACATAAGGATCTGGTGTTAAAATTTAAAAGTCTTCCACAGGTGGATTCTCAGTTACAGTTGAGATCCACTGTTATCAAATAACAAAAATTAAGAAACCGTCCATAGAAAGATTAAAAAGGTGGCATTTAGTCTAAGATACAACAAAAGAAAGCAAATTTTAGTTGTTTTGAAATATAAGGAAATTTAATTAGAAACTATAAGAGATATGGCTGCAACATAAAAGCTCACTGCACATAAGAAACAACAAATTAAAAACAAAAACAAAAAAATTAAGAAGAAACAACGAATTAAAATAATATTTAAAGAATTTGGACATAGTTAGCAATTTGCAATCAGTTATTCTTAAAAAAAAAACCCACCTAAACTTAAAACAAAGACATAAGGAAATCATTGTATACAACCAAATGTGATGCTAACTGTTTTCAAAGGCTTCCCTCCCTTCCAAAATGAGTTAATTTTTCTATTTATACTGGTCTTCCTCCCCCTTAATAAACAAGTGTTGTCATAATATTTAGCAAAACATTTATAAAGAATGATACTCATTTTTCAAACACAAAACTAAAAGGAAACCCCAATCCAACAAAACACAGCTAAAATAATAACCACCACCATTCCTTATCTTCTCATAGTCTCCAGTAAAAAAAAATGGCACTGTTAATCAACCAGAAGAAGCAACTGGCCACAAAATCTGATGATGGATTCACAAGTAGGAATAGAATTATCATTTTAAGGTACAATTTCTATTATTAATTTGTGGTGAAAAATGTTCAAGGCAAGTTTGAAAAACTTTAAAAAAAATACATTTCAATACTGGTTTTACACAGAAAACAAAGCTTTTTAAAGTTCGCTGAAAATAAAGACAAAGTGACTAAGTGCAATGTTGTTATGTGCTATCGAGTCAACTGAGACTCACAGTTGAACCTATGCACACTAGCTCTGAACTTTGCTTAAAACTGAGCCAGTCTCATCATCTCTGACACACCTATACCCATTACCCCAATTACCGTGTCAATCCATCTCATCTGGGGTTTTCCTCTTCTGCACCCCTTCATGCATGATGTTCTTCTCCAAGGACTTGTCCCTTCTGGCAAAATGCCAAAGTGTGTGAAGTAGAGCTTCAAAATCCTTGTCTCCAAGAAGCAGCTTGGTTTCACCCTCTCCAAGACAGACCTGTTTGTTCTCTTAGTGGTCCATAGTATGTTCAATACTCTTCTCCAGCACCACAATTTAAAGGCATCGATTATCCTACTGTTATCCTTCATCACTATCCACCTCTCTGATGCATAGAAAGTAACTATGAAGACCATGGCCTCAATCAGGTGCACCTTAGTCTATAGATTAACATTATTGCTCTTTAGCACTTTGGAGAAGTCCCTGACAGCAGATTTCCCTGATGTCATTCATCTTCTGATTTCCTCACTACTGGTGCCAAGAGTGTTGATTGTGGAACCAGGCAACCTGAAATTGTTAACAATCTCAATCTCTTCTCCATCTATCATGATGTTGCAAATTGGCCCAGTGGTGAGATCTTTGTTTTCTTGATGTTGAACTTCAGTCCATACTGAAGTCCTTGACCTTCTGCAGCAACCGCTTGAAGTCCTCCTCAGTTTTGGCATGTGAGGTTGTGTCATCTGTATAATGAAGGTTGTTGATTGATGAGTCTTCCTCCAATCTTGAAGCCACATTCTTCCTCATAAAGTCCAGCCTCCCAAATAATCTGTTCTGCATTTGGATTGCAAAGTTATATAGACAGGACACATCCCTGACACACTCCTTTCCTGATTTTGAAGCATGCACTGTTTCCTTGCTCTATTCTGAGGACTGCTTCCTGCTAAAAGGCTAAAGAAAGAAATGCAACACTATGGGAAAATGAGAGGTTATTTACATAGTTATTATGATCACAGAAAAGGATATTTAATAAAACGTCAATAGCTCTGGCCATCCTTTCACATTTTTTCCTTATTAAGATCTCATCTAGATTTTGTTCTGTAAACTGAAGCTGATCAAGGATTGAAGGTAGCAGAAGAGTCACAAAACGATCAGCTGAGGAACAGTTAGCAGTGTCTATCACATCCTGGAGAATTAACCAACAACAAATAAAAATGTTACACAAAATGCAGAAATGGTTATCATTAAACATCAATGATCTCAAGAAATTTCTTAGATATACATCTGTATTTCGTGATTTGATTTTTCTAACAGCAATCCATCTTTTCATCCAATCTTAAATCAATAAAGTTTTATAATTTCATAAGAAAAATGGACTAAGCCTGTGATTTTTTTCTTAAATATTCTAAATTGGAAATGTTTTCTGAAAACCAATTTCTTGAATTTGACAAATGTAATCATAACAATTAAATAATGATGCTAATCATAATACTCTGGTGGCCAAGTGGTTAAGAGACCGCTCTACAATCCAGAAGGCACATGGTTTAAATCCACCAGCTGCTCACCAGGAGAAGAATGGGCAGTCTTCTACCAGTGATTAAGTGCCTCTAAAAACCTGCTGAAGGGTCAGCTAAGGATTGGTTAGGACTTGAGGACACACATAACAACAGCAATCTTAATACTTCAACAGTTAATAAAGACAGTATATAATATTTGCTGATGGCAAAACAGACTATACTAATAGTCAAATGATGTTACAAAAAAAAGGATAATGTTACAAAATAACCAAGTTAGAAATCTTTTTTAAAAAAATATAAATTGAGTGAGTATAAACATAAGCTAAGCTTTCTAATGAAAAACAAACACTCATGCATAGTAGGGGGAAAAAAATTCAACTGCTGAAATTCTGTAGCTGAATAATATACCAAGTTCTAGATCTGCTAGAAATTGAGAACTTTTCCTAAAGCAAATGAATCACTAGAAGTATACTAGAAAAACTTCTGAAAAACAATTGTTAATTCAAAGTGGGAAAGTCAACTTGTCAATCACCCTGTTACCTCAAATATTTCCTTGAACAACTGCAATGCCAAAATAGAGCAGTTGTCTGGTGTGTCCAAGGGCTGGCTGGACCAACGAAGTATAGCCACAGTGGGCTCTACACATTTAGAACGGTTTCCAAGCACCGTGTTGCTGGGTGGCTGTTCAAATATCATCTCAGTGAGCACGTGGCGCAGCCGAGTTACTGAACAGAAGGCAAGAAGTAATTCTAAAACCTGTGTAACATAAAATCCTCATTAAATATCAACTTCATTGGACTTTCAAGTATAAAACAATACAACGATGAAGCTGAAAAGGACTTTTAATTATTCTTCAGTATAAATGATCACAAATTTGATTAAAGTACAGAAAATCACAAAGGAATTTTTCAAATACAGTCATTTATATTACCATGATGAGAGTAATGGGTATTCTCTGCTAGGCAGTGAGTAGGGAATAGGAGGTCTTTTACGATTCTAGTAATGCTGCTTCTTGCTTGATCTGAGCCTTTATCATAAAACTTAGTGAAAGTTCAGTTTGTGAAAATTTAGTTCAGTACCTTAAATTTTTTCTGTAATTTAATTTTTTAAGTTTAAAATGAAACAAAATGTTATGTTTTCACATACCTTTATAGAAGAATCAGAATCCTTCCTATTAAGAAGACCTAATACTTGACTAAGACATGAGGAAAAGTGTTCATACCTAGGTTTAAAGTAAAAGAGATTAAATGGTAATTATGCAATCAATCTATTAAA